TCCAGGTTATAATGATTTTGACACAGATAAAGTGCTTGAACTTTATGAGTCCCGTGTGAAGCCGCCATCACCACTTCTGACTGTGGAATTTCTGTGGAATTCCTACCATCACAAAACTGCTACCTGACCTTCCATTGCCCTTGCCTCGATGGTGAATTTGCAGTCATGTGAAAATGAAAGACAGTAAACTTTGGAAAAACAAAGGAATTAAGAGAGTAAGTAGGAGCCAAGTGCAGAAATAAACTTGATTAACTGATTAGTAAATGTGACCACTTCTATGACAGGTGACACCTCAGCACTGCATTAACAAATGGCCACAATATAAGCGCCTTGAGGCGACTGTTGTTGTGATTTGGCGCTATACAAATAAAATTGAATTGAAATTGAATATTCTTGAGTGGGCATCCCAGCAATTCTGTCCAAAGGTAAGACAGTGATCAAAGAAACGCAAGAAGTACATCTCATACTCTAAAAGCTCAGTTAGCACGTTAAATGTTAAAGTCCATGACAGTCCAATTAGAAAAAGACTTAACAAGTATGGCTTGTTTGGAAGGGTTGCCTGGGGAAATTCTCTCCAAGAATAACAAGGAAGCACTGCTTTTCAACGGTTTTCAATGTTGCATCTGAACAAACCACAAAACCTCTGGAACAATGACCTTTGCTGTCATGTTTCAGCTGTGTGCAGGCAAGAGAAGGACCCAAACGCAAAACTCACCACGCAGAAATAAAACTCAAAAAGCTGCTTTATTGCAGAATGGCACAAAAATATAACAACACTAAACTGGGGCATGGATGAACCGACACACAGGGAAACAGCCATGAGGGAGACTACGACACTGACAAAGAGAAACACAGGGCTTAAATACACAGGGGGATAACGAGGGAATGAGACACAGAAGGAGAGCACAGCTGGGAGTAATCAGGCTGGACGAGACAAGGGAAGCAAAACTAGAAACACTCACATGAGACATGGACCTTCAAAGTAAAACAGGAAACACACTGACTGAACTCTAAACATGCAAACTTAACAGCAACTGAGAAGACAGAACATAGGGACCAGAAACATGGTACAAAATGGTCACAGTAGACACAACATTGAACACAGGGAAGCCATATTACAAAGCCAAAGAACTAAACCTATGATAACCATAACTGAAATCTAGGGAAACAAGAAACAGTACAACAAAGGACTCAAAACATAATCCATAATATAAAAACATAAGATCTCTTCAAAATAAAATAGGAAACATAATGAGACGCAGACATGACAACCAGAACTTGACAACATAAGACACAGACATGAAACACATGAAGAGCAGGGGAGACTTAACAGGGGTTGGAAGACACAAGGGGAATCTAATAACAAAGAATTAGAAAAACTCATGAGCTTAATCATATAAACATCCAAATAAACTAAACTCAAAACACTGGGTCATAAGACCCAGGATCGTGACATTTGCACAGATGAGACCAAAATTGTTCAGCCATAATGCACAACACACAACACCACATTCAACACATGAGCACAAACACAGCATACATACTGTCAATGCAGTGTTGGAGGGGCAATGATTTAGAGTTGTTTTGTAGCCAAAAGACCTGTGAACCCTGCAGTCACTGAGTATAGGGTTAGAGTCGAACATGAGGCCGTTTGTCTGCTAGCTAAAATTCGCTCATACAATGGGACAGTGATCCCAAGAACACCAGCCAATCTATGACCGAATGGCTGAAAAAGAAAAGAAGAAAGATGTTGCAATGGCCCAGTCAAACTCCAGACCTCAACCTGACTGTGGCAGGACATAAAGAGAGCTACGCATAAATGAATTCCCGCAAAACCTCAAAAAACTGCAAATGATGCCATAAAGAAGACTGTGCCAATGTTGCGAGAGACTGATAGAGTTATTCTAAAATCTTATAAAAAGTAAGATTTCTACATGTTTACCTGATACTTAGAGAAGAGACCCTTACATGTTACGTTCAACTAATAGAAAACCAATCAATAAACCAATCAGTTGTTTTGTACTGTTGTCTAGAGCTATTAGCAGTGCAATAGTGGTACAAGTGTAGATTTAAGTATGAGCCATTGTCTAATGTTTGACTCTTCATTTGACACTTGTGGTTACACGAGCTACTGTGTAAATCTCTTCAGCTCTTCAGCAATTTATTGATTAGCTCATTATAACACTAAGGTAGAGACAGAGAAAACAGCACGTATTCTCAAAACTGCTCTTTGTGTTGCACATTTCCTTGCCAACAGCTTCAGCTTTAGAAAACTGTCCCTATACAGTCTGTCCCCAATCTGCTTCCAGTCTTCAAGTTAAATTTAAACTAAATGGCATCAATATTTTTACAAATTCATTGCACAAATTTATGCATTTGCAAACAAAATTTCATAGGCTATGCACAAGCGAATATGATGCTTCTGCCAAAGTTGAGAGTATAAACATTATACTGAAAAAATGTGGTTTTACAGACTATATATTCAAAGGAGATTACTGGTGAAACAATGAATGAACTCAGTGAATGAATGGATTTGTGCAGAGCCAAGCATTAGTTTCACCATGAGTGAAATATGTTGTAAATATGAGGAGCTAAAGTCTGGAAAGTCCTGCTGACCTTTAGAGCGACTCTATTCTATAAGGTTTACAAAGAGATGATGGCTGTGTGCGCCTGCCTGGCTTTCACTTCTCTGTGTTTTCTTTATAGCACCTGGATTTGTTTGTTGACAGGGTGGAGTTCGGAGTATGCAAAGTCTTAAGCACACATTTCATTCTTCTGCTGCAAAGGTTCAACTTCAAGGCCAACCAGCCATTTAATCTTAACTTTAAAATAATAATATTTTTATGTTTTTCCTACAGGCAGGAGAACCTACAAGTGAACCTTTACTGAGCTTTGGATTCAAGAAAATCCAAAAAGTACAAAAGATTTATAGAGTAAAAACAAAACAGGAATCAACACACACATTCATAAACACTTTTATTTATGGTTGAGCACATTTTATAACATGTGCTTAACCTTAACATGATCTGTGCATCTAACAGATGGACAGATCACATAGATGCATGTGGATGGGAGGAGCCAGGGGATATTATAAGTGAGTAAATGTCAATATTCTCCTTGTTTTTCTATGAGGAGTAAAACAGGACTTCACAAGTGTGCATGTGATGCTTTCCTCAACTGATTCTCTATTGAATAAGTTCCATTTCCCCTTAATTTATGTGTTTAACATGTTCACATTTATTCAGCAACTTTTTAACTCACCACATTGGCTTGCCTGGCCTCTTCTATGTAGTGTGTGGTGATAATAACAGAGACTTTTCCCGTCTTCACAATCTCTACCAGGTGATGCCAGATCCTAGAAAGAAGACAGAAGAAATCCTTGAAACACTTGACCCACTCAGTAATGGAGTTTGCTTCAAAATCGCAGCTGTGCCAGCAACAGCTTTGCTGCCAGCCGTCTGATCTTAAGAGGCTTTGTGATTACACAATCACACTGGAGTAACACATTCGGGGGGTACAGTATGCTTTCACCAGTGTTTGCTTATCGATGCATGAATATGGGTGTAGCCTTTATCACATTTTTATCAAAACTTTATTAAATATTAGACATCTTGTTGAGTAAATAAGAGTAAATAAGAGAGAGAATGATAAATCCATGCAGAGATCTTAGTGGAAATGTAATTTTACTGTAGTGTTAACTTTTGTCTATATAGAAAAATATAAAGATGCCTGTGGGCTCTCAAAAGAGAGGAAACTGGATAAAAAAGATATTTAATTATATATTATAATATAGGAAAACACAACTGTCCATCTGATTGGCTGCCCCTTGAAAACAAAAGTTAGGAACTTCTTCATCTTCTTGCGTTCTATTGGCTTCTCTTTCCCAGGGTGGGTGTGTGTCTGGTCAAGCGTGTCTTGAGTCTTTAGGGGTGTGGCCTCCTTTTGGCCCTGCATTTGCACCTGTTGCAAATGAGCTCAGGCTTGTCCTCTCACTTGTTGCCTGACTGCTCTGTCTACTGGTATGTTAGTATTGCTCAGGCTTCCCGTTCTCTTGTTAGGTTCATGTTTTTCACTAGTCTTACCTTGGTTTGTCGCCCTGTGCAAAAGATTGCACATCACCTCAGCTTCTCGGATTCTCTGCCTGTCCACTCACCGCCACTCACAGACATGCCCCGTGCTCCCTACTTGACCACCAGCTCACTTGCCGAGCCTCTAGCACCACTGCATCTGAGCCTTCCACCTCAGGATTCCCCATTTCCCTCCTTGCAATATTCTGACTTTTGTAGTGAAATCTGCAAACCTTTACTGAGTGGTGTCCTGCATTAGAGTCCTCAGCTTGGTCAAAGATAACATTTATAGTTATATTTATTGTACAAATGTTAAAAAAAAAATCACAAATACGTTTTTGTAAGGACTTTTGAAGGGATTGGAACTGGTGCACATGCCATAGACTTTGTCAAATTATTTAATATTGATTTAAAAATAAATCTCTTAATTTGATGTCTTTTTTTTAGTTTATGATTTTTTGCTAGCTGTGCTTGACAGCAGGGTTTCTATTTTGCCCTTTAGGATCAACTACCTTTTCTTTTATTTCTCATTATATGTGAATGAAAAGATCTATTATACATGAATTATGAAAATCTCTCATTAACAAAAGTGGCAAAAAATAACTATATTACACTGGTAGTAATCTTCCTTCGGTTCTGGCGCCTCAAAAACATTTCTCTATGCAGGAAAATATTTGGTGACATCACCTGGTGTGCTGCGTGATACAGGAGAAGACAGACGGGTTATACATACTTGGATCTGAGCACAGGGTCTACTCCCACTGTTGGTTCATCCAGGATGAGCAGCTCTGGATTCTGGAGCAGAGCTGCCCCGAGAGACACCCTTCGCCGCTGACCTCCACTGTAACACAAAAGCAATCAAAGGGCAACAGAGTGAATCTTCTCCCACGATGGGGGAAGAACGAGCCGAGGCATCAGCCTGTTGCAAAATCTTTACCAACTTTACCATGAATATTAAATGAGCCTCTAATGAAAACTGGTGTTAGGGCCTCCTGGACAACAGAAGGCTCTTTGTATTGAACCAGGGTTGTGAATCCGGAGATGGTGATTACTCGTATAAAAGGGCTATAAAGTAATCTGCCACTTGCATTGATCTGC